TTTATGTAATATATTAGGTCGTTAGATTTTACATTTTCATTGCGACAAACTTAATGATCTTAAATCATCTATAATTTCATCGATACAAACTGCAACCTGTATTTTGAATACTACAATAAAAACTAATATATTATATATTTATGTAAAGATAATTTCCAATGTTAATGGGCGATTAATATTAAATTTCATCTATACGAATGTTTTTAAATACGATTATGCAAATATTATTAGTTCTTAATAAACAGTTTAAGTATTAGATGGGCGCGCCACACGAGTGCAGTGCCGGTGCTTCGAACTAATTATAATAAATATACAACAACACGTTACAATTGATCACACCGGATACTTGTTCGTTTTATTTATCAGAACTAATAAAAGTGATCTACGGTTACTTGGACGCACGTATTTATTTTTTATTACTCAAATGTTTAAACAGATAATATAAGTTGGGTATGGTATCTGTGGCAAGTCTCACACGATACTGTATTATTTATATCATTTATTGGACTCGAGCTTTTCCCGAGGCGACGTACTCTTACACTGTAGGTCCATATTCTTATAATCTCGATTTATTTGATATAAACTTTTATGTGTTATATTTCAAACATTTTGTATCATGTTTAATTTACAAATAAAATGATACTTTATTTATTGTCAATAAAACTAATTACATTTTTTAAATAATTTTTTATATTAATGTAAATTATGTGTTTCTTAAAATTTTTAATTATGGCTGGCGATTTTAAACCTTTCTAAAAAAATAAAATCTGATCTTAAAACAAAATGGTACCTTAATTATTATCAATTAATAATTTATTTACACGTTAACAGTAAAGAAGTACGCAATATAAATTTAAGTACCTTTACTTAATTTGTACTTAATTTGAATATATATAAGTAAATCTTATTTGTCTATTATGTTTATTCTACTTACTAGTTTCACGGTGAAACACCGGTTGGATCGAGAGTTAGCGAAAGGTTGCGTCACTTTAGCTGAGCATCATATCGATGGTGGTGGGGAATGATTGAGGATAGATCGGGAAACCCCCACTCGTGCAGTATAAAGTTCAGTGTAGACGCCAAGCGTGAGAGATTCCGCTGAAGTCATTCTACGAGTGAAGACATTACTAGTGCTAATATAGTGCCGTGGTTCTCTCCATGGTGGTGGATGGTGTTGCCGAGAGGCTGCCTTGTGTCGTTCCATCGGGATAGGTTATTTTTTTTCAGGTGGACGGTGCGACAAACGAGAACACAATCCACCTGATGGTAAATGGTTGCTGCGGCCCACAGACATCTAAATTTATCTTCGATTACGAACCAAAATGCAGATGTGTTGTCACCCGTGAGGACTAAGATGATATACCTCGTTTCGAGTAAAAAGGGTCTCCGGTTCTCTACACTCACCATATGAAACACAGCAGAGTTAAGCTGCAATTTTACGTTGGTATTCTGAGAGAGCGTGGTCCTTTCCCGGTTGAGCCGACCCATTTGTGCTACAACTATACTACTAATATAGCTGCAGCATGGCTCAACCACGTAAAAAAGTGTTGCTGTTGGTTTGCATAATTTGGTGTTATCATGTAATTATGTTTATTGTTTATTGCTTTAGTCATTGGGGGGTATTTGCCATAGTTGCCACGCTTGGCGAGCGGTAGGTGAAGTGTAGGGCGTCCCCCCACGAGATGGAGTGACGACCTGGGAAGACATGCAGGAAGTCGATGGATGCAGGTGGCTCAGGACCGTGCTTTGTGGCATTCTTTGGGGGAGGCCTATGTTCAGCAGTGGACTTGTGAAAGGCTGTAATGATGATGATGATGATGATGTAATTATGTCCTTCACGTTACACAACAGTGCTAAGATAGTGTCGTTGTTCTGCCCATGGTGGTGGTTCTCCTGGCGCAGGATGGTGTGGCTGAAAGTCTGCCCTGTGTTACGTCGGGATGAGTGATGTTGCTGTTGGTTTGCATACTTTGGTATTATTATGTAATTATGTCATTCCCGTTACATCAGTGTGTAACTGTGACTAGGACATATCACAGTATGGTCGAACTGTAATTGCTCTATATGATTAATTGCGTAAGCAAGAGAGCAAGTTGAACATCCGCTCTCACACTTACCATTTTTAACAACGCTATCCTGATGTATTTCCGAGATCAGAATTGGGATCTCCATTTATATTACTGTAAACTCCTTGTTGTACGTATTATCTACATGTAGATGTATATGTAGATCTACATATACATGTAGATAGATAGTTGCAACACGGGGTCTCTTACGCTTTGCACCTACCTACTCTGAAGTTTATACTGCATAAACGAATTGGGGTTTCCCGTTCTACCCTCAATTCTACCCTGCTACCATCGTTATGGTTACCGCTAGAGTGACGCAACCTCTTGCTCAATCTCGATCCAACCGGTATTTCATACACACCGACAAGTTAATAAAACTCTATTTGTTTAGTTCAACACTCAAATCATGACGCTCGTTTTATACGGGACAGCAGCATCATCACCATTTTCATGTGATAGTACATGTGTCTTGTATTCACTTAACTGATGTTAACCAATTTAAATATTAACTCTAGCTTGGCAAACATATGAACAAAAAAATCACACTTGAATACGAAGAGTCTAGTGCAATACTAGAGGCCTCATAATTTCGCCAATCCGCAAGCTGTTAATGCCACTCACTGCTAATCTTCTGATTTTGAGAAAGAACTAAGGCTTCCTTTATACATGGAGCCAAATTCGCGTCGGCAACGCACGGCGCCGCATCGCATCCGCGTTTGCGCCGCAGCGCCACCGCGCCACCGTTTAGTATATATATATATATATATATCACGAGTTCACTCTCGCGTGCACAAAATATCGTCATTTTATATTATTATAACAGAGGACATCGATTTCGAATTATGCAACAATTTAGTGCAAGAAACAGAGTTGTGGAATTATACCGATGAATTTTATAAAGACAAAAGAAAAACAGTTGAACACGATATATAATATGATGTGTTATTTTAAGACAAAAGAAAAACAGTTGAACACGATATATAATATGATGTGTTATTTTAAATAGAAAATGGGAACAATGTCCGATAAGGAAAAAAACGAATATGTTAAGATGCATTTAAATTTAAAGGAATTGCTAGAAACGGTGTAGACTTTCTTGACGTGGGTCGGTTTAACTAGGGAAGGACCGCGCTCTCACAGAATACCAGCGTAAAATAGCAGCTTAATATTGCTGTGTTTCGTATGGTTAGTGTAGACAACCGGAGACCCGTTTTCTGGAAAGTAGGCATTCCATCCTAGTCCTCAGGAGTGACAACGCATCTGCATTTTGATTCTTAATCGAGGATATCAGCTAACCTTTGGTAGTGTGGTGAGAGCTGTGGGTAGAGAAAAACTCACTTATTTTCACATATTATTCAAAAAAACAATAATATAATATAATATAAATATGTTCATATATATATATATATATATATATACGAGTATATATATAAAGTACTCATATTATAACGTAATTCATATATAATATTGTTACGAGCTTGGGGTTCGAGACAATTAAAAACTGCCGATTGAATTACCAAAATTGACACTTTAATTACACAACACTAATTACAATCTAAAATCACACTAATAATAAAACACAGTTCGCCGTTATTTCGCTTCGAAGTATTCTCTTGTATCGCCAATTCAATACTGCCTCCGTCGTGGTCTATACCGGCCTTATATAGGGCCTCAGATAGTTTCCAGAATCTTCTACTGTAGCGACATCTAGAATGTTCGAGTACATATCGGCCCCGAAATTTCTGGAAGGATCTTGACTCTCCTAGTTCTGCTACTCGACACTAGAGGGCGCTAGTGTAACTAGTGTTGCCATGTACAAGACATTAATAGTGGCGCGCAATATTCTCATTTACTCGACACTAGAGGGCACTAGTGTAACTAGTGTTGCCATGTACAAGACATTAATAGTGGCGCGCAACACTGCCCCCTCCTAAGACATGCTCGTCCCGAGCATTATTGGCCCCATAATAACGCGCCAGTCGATCCACATGGACAATCTTAGGAGTACCTCTGGCACCTTTCTGTATCCGGTAGGTTACATCATTGATCCTTGTCACAATCCGGTACGGTCTGTCCCATTTAGCTTGAAGCTTAGGAGATTTCCCTTTGCTGGATTGTGTAACCACACTAGTGAACCTTCATCAAACCCCTTGTTGTTCATTTTGCGGTCATACCGTGTTTTCATCTTCTCAGACGTTTGCTGGCCCGTCTGTCTGACGTGCTCATAAATGTCATTCATTTTGTTCCGCAAGTCATTTGCATAATCGGTTATACTGCGTGGGGCATCAGGTGGTATTCCGGTGATCAGGTCTGCAGGCAGCCGCAATTCTCTCCCAAAGTTTACAAAAGCTGGTGTCACTGATGTACTTTCGTGAACAGCGCTTCGATATGACAACAAAAACGGTTGTATGTGCCTGTCCCAGTCTCGTTGCCGTTTTTCCACAACTTTTGCCAGGTACCTTTCCAATGTCTGATTAAATCGTTCTACCATTCCATCAGATTGTGGGTGGTAAGAAGTTGTTCGTGTTTTATGAGTACCCATAACTCTGCAAGTTTCCTGGAATATTTGAGACTCGAAATTTCTTCCTTGATCGCTGTGAATCTCTAAAGGTACTCCAAAACGACAGAAGACTTCATGAACTAGTTTATCTGCAATTGTTGAAGCTTCTTGATTTGGAATGGCGAAGACTTCTGGCCACTTAGTGAAGTAATCCATCACAACCATGAAATACTTGTTACCACTTTCACTTTCCGGAAACGGCCCCGCAACGTCAATGGCTATCCTCTCCCATGGTGCACCAACATTGTACAATTTCAACGCGCCTCTACTACGAATTTGAGGTCCCTTTACAGCCGCACAAATTGTACATTTGCGGCACCAGTCCTCGACATCGTCACGACAGTGAACCCAGTAAAACCGTTCTCGGATTTTCAGTAGAGTGGGTTTAACTCCCAGGTGGCCTTAGGGACAACCATTTGCAAATGACAACTGTCTCCCTGACCATTTTCCCATTTACGGCACAGGACTCCATCCTGAATCAGCAAGCTGTCCCATTGGGCCCAATAGCTTTTCGTGGTCGAACTCATTGCTGAGACGTCGCTCCACTTGGGCTTAGGAGCACTGGTCTTCATCCATTCCAGAATCGGCTTAATATCCGAATCTTCCTGCTGTGCATGTTGTAGGCTGTCCTTCCACTCATTGCTGAGCTGGTCTGTCCTGAGCATCCTCACAGATACCACTTCCTTACCCTCTTGCCTAGTACAATGCTTGCAATCTTCAGGGCAAGGTCTTCTTGACAATGCATCTGCATTGCCATGAGATTTCCCGCTGCGATGTTCGATCACAAAGTCGTATTCCTGCAGTAGTTCAATCCATCTCGCAACTTGCCCTTCCGGATTTTTGAACTGCAATAGCCATTTCAGTGCAGCATGGTCAGTTCGTAAGTGGAATTTCCGCCCTAGAAGATATTTGCTAAAATGCTGCAAGGACTTTACCACAGCAAGCAATTCCCGTCTTGTGACACAATAGTTCCTTTCCGGCTTTGACAACGACTTGCTGAAGTACGCTATCACAATCTCTTGATCACCATTTCGTTGAGACAACACACCGCCAAGTCCTATATCACCTGCGTCTGTGTCAACTATAAATTCCTTGCCCGCATCAGGGTACCCCAAAATAGGTGTTTTGCACAGACGGTTCTTGAGCTCCTGGAATGCAATATCGCAACTTTCATCCCAGCAGAATTGTCGCTTCTCCTCGGTTAGCTTGTGCAGAGGTTTGGCTATATCTGCAAAGTTCTTCACAAATCGCCGATAATAAGAGCACAAACCCAAAAATGCTCTAACCTGTGTCTTGTCTTTTGGGACCGGCCACTCCTTGACAGCGGCAATTTTCTCTGGATCCGTGCGGATACCTTCTTCCGACACTACATACCCCAAAAAACTAACTTGCCGTTTGAATAGTGAGCACTTCTTTGGACTCAACTTGAGGTTGGCACTCTGGATCTTCATGAGCACGCGTTCCAGGTTTTGAAGGTGTTCCTCAAACGTACGACCTACGATGATGATGTCATCCAAATAGACGAGACAGGCATCTCCAATTAGCCCGGTAAGTACAAGCTCCATCAACCTTTCAAACGTTGCTGGAGCATTGCACAATCCAAACGGCATGACTTTAAATTGCCACAGACCCTTTCCTGTGGAGAATGCAGTTTTCTCTTTGTCCTTAGGGTCAATTTCAACCTGCCAGTAGCCACTTTTCAGATCCAGCGTACTAAACCACTTTACGCCTGTGAGCATGTCCAGCGTGTCATCAATTCTAGGCAAGGGATAGCTGTCCTTCTTCGTAACGTCGTTCAGGCGGCGGTAGTCAACACAAAACCGCATGCTGCCGTCCTTCTTCTTTACCAGCACCACAGGTGAACACCATGGACTAGATGAAGGTTCAATAACACCATCCTTCACCATTCCCTCAATCATGGTTTCCACTTCCTTTTCACGTGCTACAGGCAATCTTCTTGGCCGCTGACGAATAGGCAATTCTTGTCCTGTGTTTATTTTGTGTTGAACTAAGCCAGTCTTTCCTATGTCAGCTTCGTTTGACGAGAAAACATTGGCGTACTTGAGTAACAACTTCTTCGCCTTGACCATTTCATTCGGGGAGAGAACGCTGCGACAGTCTTCTAAAAGTGTGGTCACTCTCGTTTGTCCATCCTTGCTAGGGGCCCCGGTCGATAGATATTCGCACCGACGCAACCAATCCACTTCCTCACTAGTACCGACCAATGTGCCTTTTTCTATAATCTGTTCCTGATCACAAAGGTTCAACACACGTACTCCTGAGATGTCGGTGGTTCTGACCAAGGTTCGAGCCACTTTCCATGGAAGGTCATTGTCTACCCTTTCCACGAGTACACAACGATGAGCTTGCCCAGGACTCCGAGGAAGACTAACCGGCACAATCGTTTCCGATCTCGGCGGAAGAACAATCTTCTTAAGGCTGTACACATTCCCTGGTAACGCCCCTTCCATGAAAAGTTCCTCTTGTCCACATTTCAAAACACCTTGCTTAACGTCGATCTCACAACAATTCTTCCTCATAAAGTCTAGGCCTAGGATGCAGTCGTCCATTATATCAGCCACGATGACATTATGCAGGTAGATCATGTTGCCTAGCTTCAACTCCATCTCCTTCTCTCCACGGACGGGTATGCGCTGACCAGTGGCTGTCACCAAATTAATGCGTTCTCGGTTGTATGCGGAGTCCCCAAGGAACCGACTTATAAGTTGAGAACTGACAACCGTGCGAGAGGCTCCAGTGTCTATGGTCATTTTACACGGCGTTCCGTTGACTTCTCCCTTGATGATTAGGCTGTTCCCATCATGGGTTTGTGAGATCGAAATCCTTGGGGCTCTTTTAACATCAGCCAGCACCCGCCCCGCAGTCCTGGCTTTTACTCGTTTCCCTGCTGCTGCTGGGCGGTGCTATTAGCCGCACTACCCTCTCGAGATCGATCATCTTCCCTTTCTACAGTTCGCTTAGGGCAGCTGGATCGAAGATGGCCCCTTTCCCCACAGCCGTAGCACCTAGGGCTGTAGCTTTTATTGCGGTCCTGAACTGTAGCTGCTGCAACCTCCCTGACGCGGTGGGAACGATGATCCTGCCGCACGGCTTCTACCTCCAGTGCATGGGTCAAGGCGTCCTTAAGCGTCTCGTGGTGCCCGAGCCTCACAGTAGCTCTGACTTCAAGGTCGCGGATGCCGTCGATGAATGTCTGCACCAGGTTCCCTACAATAAGCGCAGGTACAGATTGGTACGCTTTTCGAACCAGCTTCTCCACCTCAAGTGCCCACTGCTGCAGGTTTTCGTTACTGCGTTGCACGCGATCTTTGAGCTGCGCACAAAAGACGTGTTCCAGGTGAGCGTCGCCATATCTCGCCTCCAATGCCTCAAGGAGCTGCTCGTAAGTCACTTTCTTACCGAGAGCTTCCAGAACAGTTAAGGCCTGGTCGCGCAGGCCTAGGGTGAGAGCAGTCATGGCCTGACTTTTATTCCAGCCGTTCGCTTTCATGACAGCCTCGAACTGGATTTTGTAGGCCGACCAGGAAGAAGTCCCATCGAACGGTGGCACTTTGAATCCACGTAGCGAAGGTGTTGTAGCTACCACGGGAGCTGTAACTCCATCCCCAATTTTGAGGTCGTTCAGCGTTTTCTTCACGTCAGCCATCACATTGTCAACCCGATTGTACACTTGGTCGATTCGGGTTTCAGCTTCCGACAGGCGGTTGTCATATTGAGCAACCTTATCCTTCACTTCACTTATTTCTTTCCTGAAGGTAGCGTGAAGGTCCTTCATGAGAAGTATCTGCTCTTCCTTATCGCGTTTGAGCTGCTCTTCCAACCGACGGCCCTGTTCCTCCTGTTGGCGGGCTTGTTCCTCCTGTCCGCGCTGCAGCTGCTCTTCCAACCGACAAGCCTGTTCCTCCTGTCGGCGGGCCTGTTCCTCCTGTCGGCGAGCTTGTTCCTGCAGCATCATCATCAGAGTACCTAAGTCAGGTGGTGCAGATGCAGGAGCTGCTGACGGGCCGGACTCCGTGGTCGGCAACTGGCCTGCCGACGTCTGTGACGTTGCACCACCAAATCGTCTCTGGTCCGTCTCCTGTTGGCGTTGACTTCGGGTACGGATACCCTCGGTGTCGTCTTTAGGTAAAATCGGCATATTTGATCCCACTTCTGACACCAATTATTACGAGCTTGGGGTTCGAGACAATTAAAAACTGCCGATTGAATTACCAAAATTGACACTTTAATTACACAACACTAATTACAATCTAAAATCACACTAATAATAAAACACAGTTCGCCGTTATTTCGCTTCGAAGTATTCTCTTGTATCGCCAATTCAATACTGCCTCCGTCGTGGTCTATACCGGCCTTATATAGGGCCTCAGATAGTTTCCAGAATCTTCTACTGTAGCGACATCTAGAATGTTCGAGTACATATCGGTCCCGAAATTTCTGGAAGGATCTTGACTCTCCTAGTTCTGCTACTCGACACTAGAGGGCGCTAGTGTAACTAGTGTTGCCATGTACAAGACATTAATAGTGGCGCGCAATACTCTCATTTACTCGACACTAGAGGGCACTAGTGTAACTAGTGTTGCCATGTACAAGACATTAATAGTGGCGCGCAACAATATATTTTTGCGAGAGAATCGTAAAACCGGTTTTGCAACGAAATTTGTCAGTAGTTATGATTACGAAAATAAGCTAACATATTACGTTTAAAAACTATATTTGAACATTAATATAAAACTGTATTATAGCGCTCTTATAAAAGAGTTTATAATGGTCATTTTGTGAACGCTTTTGAAATTTCAGTTAAATATTCGAACAAACAATACTATTGAATGTTTTTTACACTTTACATAGCATAAGCATAATTTTAATATTATACAATTTAAAAAAAATGTAAAATGTCATCCACAATATGATTCTGTAAAAAAATTTGTTGTTGCAAGTATAAAACTTTCCAAATAGAAAATATATGAGTATCTAATTTTTATTATAAAATCACCTTTGCATACTAATAAGTACACACAAAAATATGTATAACTGAAATATGAACGATAGTATAAAGATAGTGCACACCTTAGACCAATAAAAAAGTATCGAAAATCAGTAACGACATTGTTCCGATGCGGTTTGGATCTGAATATAATTAAATGGTTAATAAAAAAAAATATTTTAGTTTCCATTAATCCCCGGAAAACTACTATACATTTAATAGACACAGAAACTCGCTGTAGATTAAAAGCGTGAATTTTCAACATGCTATCGCACGAGTTTGAGAATACCATACCTGTGGTTAAGCAGCCTCGTTCGGCAGACTTATGAGGATAATTCACGTCAACAATACAGTTTATTAACAGTTAGTTATGCGCCGTGATGATATCGCGCCTACAATTAAATATTAATATGTGTTTGAAGGGTCGTAGGCGCCCCGCGCGGGATTTATCGCATTGCTTAACGGCCCTTTAAATGGCCAAGTAACAATATAAAAGGTGAAGGTGAGAAATCTGATTAATGCCCGTTACGCGTGACTGCTGATACCGGAAGATCTTATGCTGGTGCCACAGGTGTTTAAATTCCATATAATAAATGAAGTAATTTGTGAAAAATATAAAAGGGGTGATGACGCACCTACGTATATTCTTATTCTAATTCAAGGACGTGTAGGTGTATTTTAGCCACTGCGGACGCTTTATGAGCTGTTTATTGACTTATATGTCGTCAAAAGTTTTGAAAAAAATCTATAAGTGATTTTCCCTTGGATTTTTGGATTGTTTTTCTTGATTCTTTGGTTATGGACTCGTACGGTTAAACTTTTGCCAGTTAGTTTAGTAATAAAAAATCATTTCTATTATTTTGTTTCAAAATCTTCTTCACAATATGCCAACGCGTCACATTGAGATGTTTTTGGGTGATTTTAATGACAACTTAACCCTACGTATAATCGATGACGATAATATCTCAAGTTTTTAAGACGCCTAAGTGGATTTTGTCCGCTTCAATTAACTTGAGGTTTATATCACTAATACTTAGTTCACATTATTAACATTGACACTTAATACACAAAATCGCAATACGTTTACGTATCAAAATCCACTTCAAACCATATTATCTAACCGATAAAACAGTAACAATCCGCCGGCGGTCAACTTCCCGCCAATACTCCCCAGTCGTGTTTTCTGTTTAGAAATTCAGTTTTTGAAAATGCTACGTTACTATTATTAAACTTACTGAGTAATTTTGACATCGACAGTCGAAATTCTGGATTTAAAAATTAAGATTCTAAGCTTGTTATTAATTATGAAGATTAAAATGAATTAATCCAGCAGCCTGTAACGTTCCACAATTGAAAAAAGGTCTAGAAAATTAACTTAACTGCCTTGCTCAAAAGTCAAATCGCTTGGCAATAGTAACAATAAATGTATATGAATTACACCGCTAGGTTTCGTGCAAAAACTTAGCAATTTCTTCGTTAATACAATCATTAGTCAGGCTAAAGCATTACACTACGACTATTGCATATAGGTATGTAAGTTGGGATCACGTGACACATACGCGGGTATTTAATATGCAATGTAGAAAGGCAACCAAACGTTTGTGTACTATTGAAAAAACATTCGGCCAAATATCGGACACAATTACTGAAATGATAATGGAACCGTCATTAGGCTAACATTCAGTCAATATACGAGAGTGACACTGGAAGTTCTTAGAAAATCAAAAACTGAACAAACTAGCAAGTTATTAGTTTTATTATATCTTTTCAAAATAGTGTCCATTTACATCAATACACCGCTGCATCCGATGGAACCACTGAGAAAAGAACTTTGCCCACTCGTCCTTAGTGGTCTCTGCTTCCTCGGCGTCCATAAAACGTTTTCCTCGAAGTTTTTCTTTTATTTTCAGTAATAAATAAAAATCGCAAGGTGTGAGGTCGGAGCTATAGGGCGGGTGACCCAGTAATTCCACGTCTGACGTCGCCAAGTAGTCGATTGTTTGCTTGGCAGTGTGCGACGAGGCGTTGTCATGGTGAGGGAAGATCCTACTGCGAGATCGTTTCTACCGAACTTTTTCCAAG